AATCAAAATTTTCGATTGAGTATCCTGTAATTTGATGTTTGACAAGTTTTTTATGGAAAAATAGATAAATGTAGTTTGTGTTTAATTAAAATGTTTAAACTTCATAAAAAATTACGCAGTGCGCAAGTGTCACGGTCAGTCATGGTGTTATTTGTCATTATTCATTTGTAGAATATTTTAGTAGTTATTGAATCGATTATTTGAATACAGTTGCGTCTGCCTTGTTGATCTTATTAAGATGTTTGCTTTTTTATGGATAGATAAATGTAGGTGTTTAAAGTTTAAACTTACTTTTATCTTAATAACATTGTCTGACACAATTACACCTTGTAGACTATCAAGACCATTGTGTTAACTATAGATGTGATTTTAATAAAATATATAATTGGTCAAATATGTACACATTGTGTTATAAAAAAATGTTTTAAAATAATATTTATTTAAGACTTGTGGCTTTATATTGAAGAGGCTAAATAAAAAATGTAAATATAGAATTAATACGCACTGCAGGCAATAATTTTGTATTTAATAAAAATACATTAGTAAGTGTAATAAAATTACTCTATTAAGTCGTTTGACGTCATAGAATGAAACTATAATCGTAAGGGTCAAAGTTCGATAACTGCTTTTGTGAATATGTAATGAAAATGTAAAACTATAGAATTTCCTCTATAATACCTGCATTTTCATATCATGAAATAGATCAGAATGGTAGCAATTCTAAATCGATAACTTTCAATATTTGATTTAATATAATAATTAAAATTTGCATAGTATACCTATTTAGAGTAGAATAAAAAATATTTTTGTAAAGAATATAACATATTTATAATTTAAGCATTTATTATTGTAATATTATTTTAACGACATACTTATCTCAGATTATTTTGATGTAATTTACCTAAATGACAAACATACAGACGGCTCCTGGTTACAATCGCCTATATATATGAAAATTATTTGACATCTGTGATGCTATTCACGCATTGGACTCCGTAGTCCAAAGTATAACTAAGATGTCATGATTCTTATTTTGTAATTTGACTACCTATCTGACCTCTACTGCAACACAACTTACAAATATTATTTGAAAAATGAATTTTAATGCTGTACTATATTATCATTATTAAAAAGAAATCGTTGTGGAATGAATGTTAGTTTGGTGCTCAATTCATTAATAATTAAAAGCCACACTCATATGGAGCTCAATATATTATAATGAATAATTCATACATACATAATAATTCATAATTCAGTAATCTTTCATTACTAGAGTGCGATAGCTTCTAATTAATAATATGTACGGTAGACACTGTATAAAACTAACAAATTTAATTTAGTTTTTCACATTAATTAATTTTAAAAAGGAATAAATTCAGGTTAAGTTGAAAGTCATACAAATACGATATTACCTTCATATATATGTATATACTTATAAATATAATAGAGTTAGTCTCTGAAGATGAGGTCATGATTGATATGAATATTACATTAATAATAATTTATTAAAGTTTACATCTGCTATTATGATTGAGACGTTACATCTATGTGGATACAAGTGTTCATCACATCCCTTTTTAAATTATTAAGTCGTTGAAAACAATTACTTATAATGTTAAATGTAATTTTTAATTTTACCATATTAATGCGTTTTACTTTATGATACTATAGAATAAAACAAAAATGTGTTATGATTCATGTGTTTTATTGAAGATTTTATTTCTAATTAAAACTATAATTAATTAACTAAAACTATAATTGATAAACACAAATACTTTGATATTCGTATAGTTGTACAGTCCAGGATAGGTATCTACTTATTTAGCATTCTATAAAACTAATATTAGTAGGTATATGTTACTCTGTACAGCAATCTAGACCAAATATTTTTTTCAGTTCATTTGTTGGAACGAAGTACGTAGTAGCTCTCATTAAACTTAATGTAATGTAACCTGAATCTTATTATGGAATATAGAGAAAATATTTCTTTTATTTTTTAATTTTATCACTCTGAAAAATATGAAAGAAATAGCACATATTATTACATATTAATAGGTAACCGTAATATTTAATACAGTACCTATATACGTATTATAATAATCTATGCACATAATTGTGGCAAAGATTAAATTTTTGTTGTCAATAGCTTTAAACAAAATGTATAATGCTATTCAACGTCGACAGACTGTTAATATAATAGCAACTGCCTACATGATATCACAGATCTTTATTACACAAATTTTTAATACGAGTTTTATTAACAAATTCACTTGTTATTAGGTACATCGGTTTATGATATCAAGCATTATTTCAATGAATATCTCACAAATAATTCGCAGAGCAATGGAGTTAAAGGAAGCATCTTGTTGTGCGTAATTTTAGAAACAGGATGCATACTTTGATATCATACGGCAGACATCCGGTACAATCCATACAATCACTTGTTATAATATGCACAAGTTTAACATACTGCAATACATCGGTATAGATAAACAGAGCAACATTGTTATTTTCCTTGAAATTAATATTAATGAATTGGAAACAAAATAAAATTATTTCTTATGTCGATTGTATGTAATCTAAATTCAGAAGTACTCCTCAATGACTACAAAATTTCAAAACTTCAACATTATTCTATCGATTTTTCTATACTTAAGCAATTATACCAATTACATACTGAAATTGGTATAATTGCTTAAGTACTTATCTTAACATGAAAAAATTTATGGTATATCTATCTATCTTTCGAATTTTAGACTAGGTTACACTAACCGTGATCAAGACCTAACTGGAGTATGTAGAACAACGTTTACACGTTATGTTTATAGAGATTGTAGATATAGAATTATAGAGCAGTTAGGTTATACTTCAAGAATTAGTTTCCTGAAACTTAAGATTTACTCTCTTCAAACTTAAAGTAATAAAAATTATTGTTGGTATCCTATGGATAAAGAATATATACAACGGTCATCACAAAATAGACAAAAAAAATTTGTATAAGAATAGAATAACTTTTATTTCAGAAAATCTTAACTTGATTCACATTTTATCTATGCCCCTTAAAGATACATTGTTCATCAACAATTTCACTTTATATATTTTATGCTATAAAACTTCAATAACTATTTTTGAAACAAATGTTCACGAAAATATTGGCTCTTCTTTACTATAATTAGTGTTTCAATATAGCCTGATTTGTATACATTTGAACTCTGTAACAAACTATAAAACCGTCCCTAACGGTGACCTTTTCCCTCGTAAATGCTCATCATTAACCCGGTTTCTGTTTCTGGACGAATATGTATTATCTAGTTGTTGGGTTAAACATAAACCGAACTATTTTTTTGTGTATTGTATGTATTTATAGGTATTTCTTATTTTTCTACTAATTAGCTACACATGTTTAGGCATTTCATTTGACTATACCTGCAACGTATAAAACATATATATATATATAAAATCTTCTATTAAATTATTATTTCAAGCTACATATAGGTATATTGTAGTGAATACCGATCTCTAACCAAATATAAAAATATGTCAACAATATGATTGGTATATCTACAAAATAATATGCTAGAAAAATAGGTTCGTAGGTATTTACAATAACAAGTTACTGACAATAACATGTTATTGCATTTGTTAAACAAAATTCATTTACAGGGCCTCATAGAGTTGTTATTGTCGAAAATTTACACAATCGAAACTAAGCACTAAATTCTGTGGTGTGTGGTAACATAAATGTACTTTATTGATAACGTCGATACGATATGCCGCTAATTTTGCGTGACGGGGAGGTAGATGTTAGTTAATAATGAAGATAGTAGCCTCATTGACAGCAATATACCATGTCAGTCGACCTCCGCGCAGCCCCCCTTTGAAACCGTCGTGGTAAATCATTTGGCAACTTCGCCACAATGGGCAAACTGACCTGACTTCATGCTCATCCTATCATCCTTCACTGGTGCCCTGCCAGCGTGTTCCGCTACCCCAAGAGGGTGCACCATTTCATTAACATCACTGAAAAAAAATATATATTGCGTGACCTCTGTGAAGAGTTGGTGTCGCAAAGGATCAATATCAAAGAATAAAAAAAGCAAATTAATGCAAATTTCACAATTTGCATGACCAGATTCGGAGGACCTAACAAGTTATAGTTTTCCTAACGTCATTTATCACATATATATTCATTCATTTGAATTTTGAATAGCGTGATGGATATAATTGCTTATCGAACTTTAAGTTAGTACAGTATAAGATAACAGCAATTACATAGCTGTTACAGACCTAATGTTAGCTATGTAATTAAATGATTAGTACAATATTTGGCTACAGCCATCATACTTTCACTTTAACTAATGACAATCAATTGATTGATAAGTTGGTAGAACGGCGGGGTCTTAATCACTTAATTGGCAGATCTTTCCGAAGTATGATACGATCAATTATTATCAGTAAGGGCAGGGACAAAACAGTTCATTTGCCATGCTATTGGTAGGATTAATTTTCGAATGTTGACCGCACCTCTGTCACGCCCTAGACGCGAACACGGCTAATTAATAGTGTTTTCGATAGGTGTGCGGGCTCATGTTACTGACGCTATCCATTAGCATGATAAGCTTACTAAGTACAGACTCTCTTACCCTCTTCACTCACTACTGATGATATATTGCGTTGTCAATCAGTCTCAAAGGCTGGAGTTACCCTCCTCCCGTGCTAGGTATATGACTACAACATGATTAAATGCGGACATGCGACCTTAAGTGAACCTTTATAAATTGATGATTGGGAAATTTTCCATTCATTCTCCAGAGTACTATATATACAGAGTAATATTAATTATTATATTGAACAAATATATTATTTTGTAAATGATTACTCGGTTCTTAAATGATTATGTTTACATATTTTTTTCATAAACGTTTACATAATTCGTTATAATTAAGAGACCTGAAAGTAACGTGGTGAAAATATTATTAGCATCTAATTGGTATTTTCAGATGCTCAAGATAAGAATGGGCCGCAAATAAGTCCATGTCTAAATGAAATCGTTTTAGAAAAGGGACAAAATTTTACAATTCACTGTAAAGGAAAAAAACATGTACAGTTTAAACAGCAGAATATAGAAGAAGAAGGTCTCGGAAATACATTCGTAAAAAAAATAAGAAATGTAACTTCGGTGGACACGCAGTACCCATATGAAACTGCGCTCGATTTGTACAACGTGGATCAGTACGCTGTCGGCTATTATGCCTGCTACGATGACACCATCAATGAGACTCGCATACTTAACAATTTAATGGAAGAACCGCCTAACACGGAGCATGTAACCTATATTTACATTTATGTGAATGGTGAGAGCAAAGCGTAGATTATTCCCTCTTTTCTTTACCGTCAGTATGCCTTAACGAGATCAATTTGTCTGATGATTAAAATACTTTTAGGCACTGACAATCTTCTTGTACCTATGGGTGAAGTAGTCCAGACAAGAGACAAAAGAAGGGTGGTCCTTGGATGTAGGCCTACTTCACCAGATGTCCAAGTTACTTTGAAAGTGGTATGTATGAATAAGAGCTGTCACATACGACGTTAAATGTTATAATTCAAATAAACCAAATTAGGAATTTGCTATATATGAAAAACATATTATAATACCTGTACACATCGATGTAGACTAAAATCAATATAATAATTGACGCCAATATTATTTAAAGAATTACAAAAAGTTCTTTTAAACTAATATTTCTTTAAACAAACTACAGGAAAAAATATAAACGATTTGCTTTTGCATACTGAGCATGGATTTCATGATTGCATAATAGGTACGTCTCAGCTTACCGATAGTGAAAACTAAATTAATTTGCGGGAATGTATTTAAATTAATAATATTTTACTATTGTTACATTAAAATTTAATCTAATAAGTATGTTAGTACTAATCAACGTTGTCTCATTAATGCTGCCTATAAGCAAAACTAACGCTTATAGCTGACAATAAAGCCAAAACTAATGCATGAATACTATATATTTTCTAAATAGCTTAAACTGATTTTAAATGGATTTCTTAATATTCAGGAAATAGCTGAGTTTATAGATGACTTTGAATATGAGCAATATAATCCAAAAATTGGGATCACCGTTGATATTGGTGTGTTCTTGTATGGTACCATATATTTCGTTTGTGCAATTTCGAAAGCTGATAAAACGGACAACAAATCCTTTTATGTTCATAAACGTAGGTGAATTGATGTGTGACTTTGTTACTTATAACGTCAACCACATTCATTAGATAACATTCAACATTTTTATAACAAAATAAGTACATGAAAGTAATAAAATGACTATGTGAATATGTTTCCTAATGAAAGTGGTTAGTATGTTTTTCAATTTTAAGATTTAAGGTTGTTTTCTTAGGTTAAATAAAAATAATATGATACTAAGCTTTTATTACATTTGACCTAACATTGATATAATAGATATCAACAGCAGATAGCAAAATAGAATAATAATTGTGATTAAATATTGATTTTAATTGTGAATTAATACATTTAGAATATGTTAAATGAATTCATATCTTACTCATATGATGATATACATCTCCAAATCCTTATTAATAGTGAAAATAAATATATAATTGTATAATAGAATGTAGGTGTTGTCTAAAGTTTGTATTCGGAGATAAAATAAAGACTAGAAATAAATAATTGGTGACAGTAAATAGTGTATATTTATTCTTATTTAAAAGAATACAAGAATATTTCTTTAGACAGTTTAATAAAGTTTTGATGTAGCTTTGTATCTGATAAAAAGTGTTAGCTTGTTGGCGAACATAGCATCAGATAATGTGTATCGTTTTCACCGTGACTACGAGTTTTAATCAAAGAAAATTTAAAATTGAAAAACATACAAATAAATGCATATTTATTGTATTCGTACTAACCATACAATATTTATTTGGCAATATTATAATAGCGGAGTAACAAGACAGCAGAATATTTAAAGTTCTCACCAAAGATTGGGTTTTTAGTGAGAGCGTGTAGGCCTCCTTACCAATGCTATGGACAACGTGGAAATGACACTGTTAAGAAACCATTACGTTGTAAGTAGTGCTGCGATTTTGATGTCATCTAATGAGGTAGCGTGGTGTGATGGTTTCATTCACGTTTTTTATTGTTGCAACTTTTCGTTTTTTTCGTGGCCTGCTTGTTGCTCATTACTCACTTTTTTTTCATATCTTTCCTATCCTTTTGGTGTTATGCTGTATGGTGAATCATGTATGTAGTAAATGTATATAATATGTAGTGACTAACAAACTAATAACAATTAATTGCATATCTATGTATGATTATATAGACTGTTTGTGTAATGCATATGTCGCAGGGGATGTTCAGATTATCTATAGGAATGTTAACTTAATATTATAAAATATTAATCTTAAAATGCCCTGCCACAGATGCATACATATAAGTCAAGAATCCCATTTCACGTTTATTCTAATAAAACATCGTTTTGGTTTTCGTTACAATGAATGATTTTGGAAAGGATTTGATATTTATGGAATGAATAACGATAACAATTTTATTTTACTACCTAGACGTATTTTAAATATCTATATTTTGAAAGAATATTTTATGTTAATTATATGTATTATTATTTACCGTAATTTAGAAGTTTTACAATATAATTTTATTTAACATTGTTGCGTGTAGTAGTCTTAAGAGACTGCATTTTTGTTTAGTTGCGATTTTTAACATAACATAGAAAATACAGCTTCGTCATATATTTTGTAGAATGTATTGATTTAGGTATTTATATTCGATATATACGTGGGTATATTATCTATGTACTGTTTGATGTGTGTGAAAATAGAATAAGAAAATCTACACAACCACAAAAAATAATCTTAATACTTATTATGTATTAATTCTCAATCGTATAAATATATAAATTGTAATTAATTATTATTATCGTTTATAAATACGATAGTAATGTTATAAATTTTCATATTTTATTTTCATTTTCAATAATAAACTTTGACGGATATATTAAACAAAATAAATATATTATTTGTCCAATATTTTTCAGGTCAAAATATACCGGTTGATACTCCGAAGATACAAGGGACCGATTATTTTTTAGAAGGTGAAACATTTTCCCTTAATTGCACAGTAGCCTATCAGAGAAATCTTCCTGTTGAGCTGAAATGGGATATTCCGAGAAAAGTGGGCAAGGTACATCCTGTGATTACATTTTTAGTTTGTAATACATATTATTATAATTATTAAGCAATATTAGAAATGATGGACACATTTTTTTTATCTAACGGTAGAACTACCGAAGTCATCAAAGCTGCTATAATAATAAGTCGCTTAGTTGAATTTATGAAACATTTTACAAATGGCGTCAAAAGACGGATAAAGAAATGTATTCATATCCCGAAGATCAATAAAAGAAAATTGTTTTTTTTTATTATTTTAAGGATTTCGTCAATCAAACAACTAACGAATGTGATGCTACAGAAGTTAATGTGTTGTATAACACTATTACTATAGTAAATGCAACCAAAGACGACCATGGCTTATATAACTGCACATCTAGTAATAACTCCGATAAGAAGACTAGAAGATTCCTAAAAAAATTTATAGGTAATGTATTAGAATACAGAAAGCCACATACTAAATTGAAGGGCTCGAAATGTAATGAAGGCTCATAATCATATCATTCATCAGCGCTCCAGATAATTCCATGAACTTTTGTGGTATTCATGTCTAGGTATTCATATATTCAATGGTTTTCATCATAATTGATCCGATAATTATGTTGGTGTTTTGTTATTAGTATAGGTATAAATATTCATGTAATATATGTGATATTTTTTTACTACTTAGAGAATTTATGAACTTTTCGTACTATTTATAGAACGAGAAAGGGAAAGAAGAACCATCTCTAGGTGCGCTGAAATACACCGAATACTTTATAATTTACGAATGTTTCGCGTATATCGCGTAAATAAAGGATTTTATTTTTTTGTTTTCAGAAAGTCCGTTCATAAATCTACGGAAAATAACAGCCGAAGTGGATGGTATCGTTGTAACCCGCTTATATCAAAAGAGAATGAGATTACAAATAAATATTAGCGGACACCCCTATCCGAAATATTATTTGTATGTATTTTTTAAAATTGCGCTAAAGCTATTCTAAGTACTCATATTTCTTAATAATTTGGATTATTATAAGTAATCAATTCAGTATAGACACCTAGACAGGGAATAAAGAAAAGTAGAGACATTTAATGTGTTATGATTATCTAAAAATATATAAATCATAATACATATATACAAATACGATGCCTTCAGATACTTTGCTTGGGAGATAGAAATGAAATACTCTAGAATCTGAGAAAACATACGTACCTTACTTAGGTACCATATCCATATATAAACGAACTAATATATGGAATATTAAATAACTCTTTGACAATTATATGTACCATATTAGTTGAAAATAAATAATTGTGAATATAAAATAGGCCATTATAGTCAGTTTATTTGTTATTACATAATTTATACATTTAAGAAGGATAGATAAGGCTCTATATGTAATACACTAAAAGTTATTAATATATTAGAATAAGGCAACATACCTATACCAATCACGAAAAGGTTTCACTTAATAAATTTCGTATTTCACTTAACTTAATTTAACTTCAATGTTTATTTAGTATATAATTTTAATGTGGTTAAGACATACATATTTAAAAATAGTAAGTATTGTGTTAAAGTTACTTCTTAAAGTTTCAGAGAATTTAATTACATGAGAAATTTAATTGTAGCGTTCTATAATTCGTTCTATTTTTTAGCATAATCTACGATTAATTATTATTAATTGATTTCCATTTTTATTTTACAGCTTACGAAATGGCCTCAATTTACCTTCAAATGCATCGAAATATTATATCGACAATATGCCCTTAAGCGGAGAAACTGTTTTAAATATTTTAGATCTGAATGTGAAAGACACTGCAAATTACACTTTATACACGGACAACCGCTACGTGAAAAAGAATGTCACGTTTGATTTGCGAGTATCAGGTAATTTTTTAATAAGTAGTATTATATTATTTTCAAATATAATATCAATTTATTTTTGTTTTACGCGATTGAATAAAAAACAAGCGGTGAGCCAACTTCAAACGAAATAATCATCTTTAAATATGAATAATAAATGACCGATATTAAATATTCAGTAATTTCATAGCACCGCATATATGTTGTTTCTGATGCCTACGGTGTTATCATGTAATAAACATTTTTACTCGTAATAAAATTCTAAATGTGGTTCTTTCCTTGGTAATAATTTAATCATATTAAAAAATTATATTTAACGTATTTATTTCGAATACTTAGACTGACGTGTTGTACATGAAAAGATATATATATAAATCAAATTGTCTTAATCTTTTTAAATATTAAAATATTTCAATTGGATGGTTATTTGTTACGCTAAATTGGCGTCAGCCAAGATGAAACGACTATTCATTGTCAAATAAAAAGTAGTCAACGGCTACACTGATTAAAAAACGAATTACTACTTCGGCAGTTCCAGGTATAAAAACAACGGTTTATTGACATTGGAAAATAATAAAAACTAGAGTTCCATTACGTTCTCTTTGATTTTTGCAGTACATTCAACTAATGTGACAAGTATTTTATATATAGGTATACATTACGATCACGGTAAATCCAACGGAGACAATAACAGGTCTCGCGAAGTATTGTAACCTTATGTTTTATTATAAACCACTTATTATTCATATTGCAATTTATTTTAGAGGTATAACGTGATATTATTTCGAATTAATATCATATAAATATTACATATTAGCATGTCGTGGTCATGGCAGAACTGAAGTAAGAATATTCTTTTATACACTTATTATTTATTTGCAGCTGTTCCAGTTGTGGAGTTTTTCCCAAAGACAAAAACCACAGTAGTAGGCAATAAAGATCAGTATCTAACATTAATGTGTGAGGTGACTGGCTACCCATTACCATTTGTCAACTGGTACTTAACTGCCAATGGTACAGATCATAAATTGGTAAGTATTAAAAAAATTCGATTAGGTTGCCTGTAAAACAAAAAAGTTTTATATTTATATAAATTATATATTGTAAAAAATTAAAAATACACTAATATCTACCTATGTATTCCTAATTTACAACAAACTTGGCCCGCACAATTTTGCATCATTGCAATTAGTACTAATTAGAAAGAAAATTTTTAATCCTGGGATTAACAATATTAATATTATCAGAAAAAAACGTTTGTGTTGTTGTTGTTGTTGTTGTTGTTGTTGTTGTTATTGTTGTGTTATCTATCACTCGTCTTCATGATCTATAACTGTGATACATACACATGATCTATACCTGTGATACAGGCATAGGTCATTTGTATGAGGCATATACCTATGTGATACCTAACCTTATTATCAAATGTATTTTATAGGCAAACAAAATTCTACTATTAATATATAGTATAAATAGAGTCAATTTAATGAGTCTGTCTAATAGTCTCAAATTAATGTGGGTCTATTATTTGGAGACATAAAGCTGGCCAAGTAAAACAGTTTTTCATCCTGCGATATTGGCATGCTAGAAATAATCTATAATTGAACTTCATCCTAATGAAGCTATCTAATTATAAATTTAGTATCTAACCAAATTACTTTCGAAATTTAAATCCCGGATGAAAGTTCTTAGGTTAAATTTTAAATTAGCTCATGTCTGGAACGTGAGCCAATTTAAACATTATTTTGTGCTGAGATCAAATGATTGTACAGAGCATCCCGAGAAATAAATATTTGCCAAGCGTTTCTGTTACATATGGACTATCGCTGAGTTACCTTGTGTATTTCGATTGTGAAGTATAAAAACTACATGTAAATAATTAATACTTCATAAAAGTTTGTGTGCTAAACGAAATTAAAATAGAATTTTAAGGGTTTTCATGGAAATGCTAAATATATATATATATATATATATATATATATATATGTATATTGTATTTATATTATTATAACAAACTACATGGATTAGTAACATCTTAATACTCAACTATTCAAACTATATGCATATAATCATAATATTATGCAAATCTATAACTTTCAGCCTACAAGTGATTTCACCACACAGTCAGTGTACAAAGCAACATCCCATGTAGATGTACCTGTGAAAATTTCCGGGAACATAACGTGTAAAGCAACAAATATTCATCGGTCTGATCAAGCATCAAAACAATTGCTTGTTGACGAAATACAAGGAGGATTTGGCATAATGGAAAGTGAAACGTGGTATCCAGAAAATCATAACGTCACCTTAAAGTGCGTAGCGTCCAAATATAATTACTCCAACTTAACTTGGATAGATAGCACTAATGGCGGGAGCCTTAATGATTTTGGTAAGACAATAAAATATTGCCTGCTTTAAGTATAGAATTATTACAGCATTGTATTATTAGATGCAGATTATTACAAAAGTATGATATGTATCACATATAAACATATAATATACTATTTTTGAGTATATAAATGTCTAGATATATCATTAAGGATGAAAACAAATTTAATTTATAGATCGTTATGTGATGTATTTTCTAAGTTTTGTTACTTTCAACTACATAATATGCTTCACATATACATGTAAAGCGGATTATATAATTTAAAGTGTCTAGTCTATTTATATTAATGAAAATAGATAATAGATTCTATACTATACATATAATGAAAGGTTTTAGTGGAAGAAACTATTTTTATGCAAGTTAAGAAGTAGGAATCGTAGAGATGAATACACAGTTTCAATATTGTCTCTGATTACCACAATGGGCAATTGTCCCTTGCCTATTTTTAATATCCAGATAGCATGCATTGGTTCCATTTGCCATCGCGACAATTTTGTATAAATGATATGTTTGGTAGTCATGCATAATGCTCTATCATGGACGTATGCGTAGATATATAAACATGAATTTAATAAAATTGTGAACATTTAATCTGCAAAAGTCCTTGAAAAACTAATTCATACAACCTGCTGGATATTTGTTGTACATGCATACTCTGTTTGAGTACATTAGCACAAATACAGTGTTACCCAGTAATAACTGATTTAGAAAATTAAACAATACTCAGAAAACAATGGTTTTGAATAGTTTTAAGAAGTATCAAAATATTTCCTGAGAATAAGTAGGTATTGATATATATATATATATATATATATATATCCATAATCTACATCTATAATTATCCTTAAGAAAACACAAACGTACAGTTTTCAAATTGTGCGGAGCAGTCGACCGTTCGAAATAGATTTTGTTTGTTTTGAAATATAAATTCTGTGTGTACCTAAGTCTTTGTTAAACACATTTCAGTAAAATATTCGGAAAGTCCATTCTCACATGAGGCGATATTAAAAATAATCGCCGTACCACTGACCAGAACTGGCTCTTACACGTGCGTCGGATATAAAAATGATGGACATGAAGAAAGCGAATCGATATCCATCACAATTGAAGGTATGTAGATAAAGTGATCTAAATTTATCGTATCCAATTGTTTTCTATTTTTGTAATATGTACTTTAGATTATTCGAGATTAAATGAGAGATGATAGATTCTTTATATTTATTTATTTATATATGTAATAGTTACCAATTCATGATACATTTATAATGTGTCAGGAGATTCCTATCTTAATTCTACCGCTTCAAAATTAGGTTAACCCAATTAAAATGGCGGTTTTTAGATCTAATTTTTAAAAAGAAATGAATCTAAGATTTGCGACAAATACGCGGTCTTATTCTTTTATATTATAGAAGTAAAACTATGCTTTGAGATGAAGCCTATGTACTAAGGATGTGTAAGTACACATTGACTAACTTTGTTCTAGCTAATCAAGACACTATTATATATGAGCCAGAAATGGACCAGGACGAAGAAGTATCAAATTATCAATATGTTCAGTTTAGCTGTGTAGCTGAAGCTGTGCCACCTCCTGAGATCAAATGGCGCAAGGTAATTATTAAGTTCCGAGCAGAATACGGAGTTTAATAATTGATTGCTTCGTCTATTTGCCTGAGTAAATGAAATTTCTATTAAACAGATACTATTTATAGTCAACATTGTTCCATTTACAGCATTTTATTATATTTTACAAAAATTGGCTGACATAGTGAACACAATAGCCGGTTTTATCGCAAAAAGTTTTATAGACATATCTTTAGTACGAATATAAGGAAATATACTCCCGTGAAGCAGCTTTAATCTATGTAAACTCAAATATATTAAATATTTTTTTATTACTTTATTTTTGTTTCTATGATAACTTTTTTTTTAGATTTTTCCAGTGAACCTTTTAATGCACTAAAATCTCTTTTGTACGGGAAATCTTTGGGACCAGTCCGCTATTGTATTTATTATGTTTTTAAGAGACAATAACCTTTGTTAATATATATATATATATATATAATATATATATATACATCATAACATAATAAGATGATGAAATCTAGCCTTCCCCAGTTACCAGTATAATTCCTGTTTATATGACCAGTATTTTGAACGATTTTTTTTTATTCCTCCTATGGTTTTCTAGGCGTTCTCAAAGTATTTTCCTTGATTCAGTCACAATGTATTAAAATGATTAATGTTGTAAACAGGATGGTGTTTTGTTAGAAAACGGAACTGACGGCGATGTGACAATAGTGAGCTATTGTACTAATAATACATTAGTAAACTCCACAGTTATAATACCGCGAATGAAAGAAGAATACAAAGGAAAATACGAATGCATAGCAACGAACATGTACTCAGAAGAAGTAAAAGTAATTAATCTACTTTTGGAAGGTGTGTAATAACTATTATTTATTTCACGTGTTTCGTATACTGTCTTAATAATTTCATAATCGAATGCATATTCGTGAGAATCGAAACGTGTGGTCATTTATGTAGTTATGTTTTAATTAAATATTTATATGTTCTTTATTACGGCGATATATTAAAAACAACGTTGTAGTGACTGTTTAATTTAAACATTATTTTAGTATAATCATTACTCGAACGGTAATAATCATAGTTAATAGAGCATACAGCTTGTACAAATTCCTACTCTATTATAATGTAACAATGTGATTCGATTATAATAATATGGATTCTAAAAGTAACTGACTGTCACAAGACGGCAAATTCTCATTAAAATCAAATTAGTAGTTTTGTTTGTTAATACGGAGAGTGATTAACGCCTAATAGCCTATGTTCAGGTGTCATCGCTATAGAATAATTTCTCGATGACCGAGCGTTGCGTTAATTTCACGTCCACCTCAAATTTACGTTACTTTTACTGGTATGTTTGAAGAATCGATAAAAATTGATTGAATAATTAATTATTTAGTATTTCAAGTGAAATTTAGTTTATTGTATAAATTATTAGTTTCAGTTACGTATGTACAATGTAAGATAAAGAACAACTCTTGCTTCTTGTTTCTTTTATATATCTAATGGTTATGTAATAGCCATAAGGATAGAAACCTTGACTTAATAGTATAATATCAATTATGTTTAATTTCAAGTAAATATTGATTACAGATAAATCGCCGTACACTACAACTTATCTTAGCATAATTGGAGCGGTATTTATTATTCTTATAATAATAGTAATATATTTGACTTGGAAAATAAGAAGAGAAAAACGCTTCAGAAAAGAGTTGGCGGCAGCTGGTTTGTTGTATTTCAAAGAAGGTGTACCTAATTCCTTGAATCCCGATTTAGTGGTGGATGATCAAGCTGAACTTCTTCCCTATGATGACAGATTCGAATTCCCGTCTGAAAAACTTTTTTTAGGTAAAACTATTCTATAATATTTTATTTTAGAATCAAGTAGACTCTTATATTTTGATATTGATAATGTAATAATTTTATTTTACTGGATGGCGGTTTTGAACTGACTATCTAAAAATTCTTTGTAATTAACAAGGCAGAGTAATGTATTAGACTGACTATATTTTACCAATTACGTCCCCAGGAGAACTTAAGATTCAAAGAAACTATTTTAGACGAGTACATAATCAGAGCATGTTTATTTTTACAGGCAAACAGTTAGGTGCTGGAGCATTCGGAGTGGTGTATAAAGCAGACGCTCGGGGCATTATTAACGCTGAAGAAACGACACCTGTCGCAGTAAAAATGGTGAAGAAGACCGCAGATAATATGTACATAAAGGCATTGGCTTCGGAACTGAAGATAATGGTTCATTTAGGGAAACATATCAACATTGTAAATTTGCTTGGAGCATGCACTAAAAATGTTGGGAAACGTAAGTAACCTAATATTTAATTATTAATATATATACATAGTATAAAATAAAGTCGCTGCCGCTGTCTATCCCTATGTATGCTAAAATCTTTAAATGTGCGCAACGCATTTTGATCGATTTTTTTAATAGATAGAGTAATTCAAGAGGAATGTTTATATATATATATATATATATACATGTACAGCCATGCGAAGCCGGGGCGAATAGCTAGTATAATATAAATAATATTTTTTTTTACTATGATGGTGACAAATAAGCAAACTGATGATAAATCTAGTGGTAAATGGTTACGGTACGGTTATTACACGATTAACTATTTAGTTTTGAAGTCTCAAAGCGTTTGTAGTAATTATGGTATCTCGATATTTTAACAACGTCTCAACAACTAGTTTTAAAGTAAAATTAATGTATCTAATTATCATAAAAGTTCTCTCTCTCGAAATCTTAAAACTTTTACACTACTCGACAAGTTAGATATCTAAATTAATAATTAATTCAATAGGTAAACAGACTATTTTAGGTACAGTAGTATATTTCTTTCAGGTGAACTGATTGTCATTGTTGAATATTGCAAGTTTGGTAATATTCATAATTACATGCAAAAACACCGAGATGTCTTTATTGATCAACTCACCGATAATACGGAAAAGAATCTCGGAAAGATTAACAGAGGCTACTCCTGTAGCAGCGCCAGTAGTGGGTAAGAATGATAAACAATCAGTTTTTGACTACTATTGTTATACGTAAAAGTCTAATTAATAAATGTTCCAAACTATATATATTTATATGTATATATATATTTATTTGTTTTTAATACAATAATTTTCTAGTATAATATAATGGTTATTTTTAATTTAATAGATAACAATGTTTATTAATATAATATATCTACTCATTTTATTTATACTCTTAGTTAATGCCTTCTTAAATAGTGTACGAATAAACTGCGGCATAATTTTAAATCGTTTACGTAATTTTTTTTTAACTAATTGAGGAATTCACTAACATAATCTAAAATTTGAGAAAGTATTCTATACATTATGTTTTTATGTTATCTATTTCAGAATGCATTCAGATTATTTCGGCTCCAATAACACACAAGCTACAGATCACACGTTCCTGAATACGGCTAACACTACTAAATCTGGACGGAAAGGTAAGTAATCGTAACTCAACATTCTAATACAACATCTAAACAAGCGGTATCTTTAAAATATCTATAAGGAGGTAATAGGTTGGGTAATAATTTAATGTTTTATCATGAAAATAATGCTGATTAGTAATATAATTAAGTAGGTACTAATCAAGTCAATATTTTGCCAGACAAAGCCAATCAGCACGTGGAATTCTTAAAAGGTAACAATAAAACAATGCACTCACTCTGTTACTTTTTGTTATAATAATATAAAGCACGGTACTGGTATTTATTAAAAGAATTGCATATTTTTAATAATTGTGTAATTATTGTGTAAACACCAGCTAGCTTTAATTTCAATTAAATAATTGCGAATTAAGGTGTGTATTAAGCTTATTTCATATAGGTACTTGTGTAATTAATGCATGTATGTATTATTCTTCTGTGTAAATTTATTTATCTATCACATAACCTCTCAAAGTGTTAAAATAGACATACATATATTTCTAAAAAATTGTTCAGATAATAGATCTCTCTAAAATAACAGTAGTCATAATTCATCCTATAATATTGTATTCACACATTTCCGCTCACAGTAAACAAAGAGCGCTTTGTATGTATCAAATTATCACAATTGTCCAGAATTTTTCATTTGCACATTTTCACCTTCGTTGCCTACATCGTATTCGAATACTTCATTGCAATTTTTATAACTATAGGTTTCGTCTTTTTTCGTTTGCTTGCATACTTGTAATAGATATTAACTTATATAGTAATATTTTATATTATATAATATTATCTTTTGACTTTACGCATATACAACAGTTGATGTCTGAATTTGTCGTGGGACTACGTCTCTTATATTAATTTTGGTTTATAACTCCGGAGAGAGAGTTATACATATAAATCGGGACACAAGACAGTTTATTGTTGTTGTTTAATCAATAGGGACAACGCTCTAAGAAATGAATAATCAATTAATCTTGTTTATATTTCTAGTATCAGAAGGGCATGTGCAGCCCGAGTGGCGATCTAACTACGAGACTGATTACGTCTACGATACACGCAACCCTCGGCCGTTATCTTCTCGTGATTTACTTGCGTGGGCCTTTCAGATTGCTAGAGGCATGGAATATCTTGCCAGCAGAAAGGTAACATATACTTTTATTATAATTTGTTTATATTCGTAAACTCAGATACGACGGCTGATAGAGATCAGTGTAATAAGATGAAATTCGACATTTGTAAATGCCGCGATATATAATAAAGAGAGTATATAATTAATAATAATAACCTAGAACAATTTAGGCAGTGCCGTCTAGTCCAAACTAAATAAAGCTTGTATTATGAGTATCAGACAATTAATAGAAAAAACATATTTTTTTTTGTGAATATGTACGTAATATACATAGAAAACATTCAGGTTAATTAATACAAACAAATATAGTCATATATACAAACAATTGCGTCGTGTGAAGAATCAAATTCGGGACCATTGGAAGTAAGGCGATGTGTCAAACCGTTAGTACAAAGTAGGTACTTGTCAAATTATATCAATTGACTTATCTAATTCAATTATGGTTAATTCTTGTGGTGAATTGACAACGAGTGATTCGAAAAAGGACCGCTTAGAATTCTACCTGATCATTTTATATTATTCACGATAATTGCTACATGTGTTGTGTATTATAGATACCATGCCTGAATGATTATAAAATTTACGTTTTGACCGGCTAATTGCTCAACTAACTGTCATAAAATTAGCTTTTACTATGAACCTATATAAGAATAGATCTAGTTTTATTCTATTCTTTTAGAATTCAAGTTTTAGATATATATATAGTACGCACTCATATCTACAAATAACAAATATGGGAACCACTGCAGCGATTCTTGACTGAAACATTCGTTTAATGTTAGGAAAAAGGTACACTATTCTAGAGCGACATAATCATCATATTATAGCGTAATGGAAAAAATCCCCCAAAGTAACGTATGAAACCGGGATGGGTCATTAGTATTTAATATATTAGAATGTTCAAAGTACTCTTAATATTACAACTTTCGTTAATTACTACAAAGTTCGTATTGTCATATTTCAGGTGCTGCATGGAGATTTGGCTGCTAGAAACATATTGCTAGCAGACGATAACATTGTGAAAATTTGCGACTTTGGCTTAGCTAGAAGTATTTATAAAAATGACGAATACCAAAAGAAGGAAAATGTAAGTATTTTAAATGGACATCATACAAGTTTCAGCCAGCCGGCGCTAGCCAGTTCTGCAAAATGTGATACTTTTTGCAGAACTCATATGGTTTAATGTCATATATTATTTTGATAATAATTTTTGTATGTTAGTCTAGAATTTTGTAGGTATATCTGTGTTGAAAACATTCACGTGTAAGTAAAATTAATTTGCTGCTTCATGGTAAAACCATCAGTGCAGTACATACATATCCATAGGATTTTGATGTTGCCTCATTTACGTGGAAATCAGCGTGTAGTAGCTAAATTAAATGAGAAATGGGCCTGTAATAACTGTCATAAATAAATGAACCTATAAAATTCATTCTCTCTTGGGTCTGAGATGGCATTTTTTTGTAAAATTAATATATCACTGAGAATATTATAATTTTATTAAAATTATCATTATTGTCTCAAGTAATTTTAATAAAGATATTGCTTCTGTATGTGTGTTTATCATTTAACTCTTCCTAAGCGGCAGTTTGTTACTAAATACTTTGTAAATATAATTAGTAGATAATGCTGCTTTTTCGGGCAGGACAACGTTTGCTGAGTCCGTTAGTTATACATATATATAATATCCATTTACAGAGTCCATTGCCAGTGAAGTGGTTAGCCATAGAATGTATGACGGATAGAATATTCTCAACACAATCGGACGTGTGGTCGTTCGGCATTGTGCTGTGGGAATTATTCTCGCTCGCCAAGACTCCTTATCCAAATATGAGTCCACAAAACTTGCTGCAATGGCTCACTGATGGGTAAGTATATTTATATACAAATCATAAATTTTATTTCATAACTACTTTTGTTTATATATCCTATGTATTGTAATTATGTCTCTACTTAGTCGTCGTTTGGAGAAACCAACATATGCAGACGACAGATTATACGATGTGATGAGACAATGCTGGGAACATAAGCCGACCATGAGGCCATCGTTTACTCGGCTACAGGAACTTCTCGGATCATTCCTCGAAGATAACGTTCGAAACGTAAGTATTGCAAATGAAATATGCCCTCTCCATTTTAAATATTCATAGAGACGAATCGATCATAAATTACATAATTTATACTAGATTTTAACAGTAGCTAATTACCATTAAGCAGCGAACTAAAAATACTCAGTAAAATTTTGCGTATTTGTCTTTTTTTATATTTATACTTAAGTCTGACACTGGCATATTTTATATTATTTCTAACATACAACTAATTTGTAAAATAATACTTTGAAGTACCTACAACTACGAATTTCGAAATGAATCTGCGAATCTGCGAAAATCATTTCAATATTGATCTTAGCCTAATCGTTACATATTTTTCTTATTTCAGCACTACGTGGACCTGAATTCTTCATGTATGGATACAAATGCTAAGAACGAGCCTCAAGAAGATTACTTAGCGATGATGAATTCGCCGGACTACAATAACATTGTGACTCCCAGTCCGCATCACTATGTCAATGAGGTTAGAAGTTTCTTCCCTCCATCTCCGACGGAAATTCCACATGGTAAGTATTATCTTCACTTTTTTAAAAAAGATATATTACAATTCTTGTGTCATAATACTATAAAATTATCTGTTTTTAATGAATATTTTTCCATATAGTTCTACCACTATTAGTATGAAGTGAATTGACTGTTCTAAAAAATCCTTAAGAGGTAATGTTCACATAAAGAAAATTAGTTCTATGGAAAGGTTAAATCATACTAATAGTGGCTGAACGGTTATAAGTATTTCTTGTTGTTGAAAGTTTAAAATACTAATATAGTTTTGTTTTTGTAGCAAAAAAATTAACGTAATATAATACATTAGATTAATTTACTAATTACAAATATTATATTTTAAATTTGGTTTACATGCAGCTGAAGTACAACAGGGTACAATAGGTATACAAGGTACTCCATTATGAATAATATTAAGAATATTTTTATACATCAATTTACTAACATTAAGTTAATATTTTATAATTAAAACTAAATCGCTTCCCTCCGTCAGATGGTATGGATATTTCCACTTTGTGATACGAGGAGCTAAAATCATAATACGGTAACGAATTCATCCGAAATTTATTTGATGTCATTTTATCAGTGAACTAACATAAAAGTTGTTATAAAGTCTGACTAATAACAACAAATATCAAGAGTTAGTTGTGGTAACTCACATTTATTACAAATACTAGAATGCACTTATTTTCAAGTAAAATTTTTCAACTAACAACATTACAATTGCAATTGTTTTATTACTAAGTAATATATGTAATGGAAACAGTGTAAGAATATTAATTCTATCTATAATATTAGTAGGTATAACTACTCAAAATACTTTCGCAAAGAGCATAGATGCGAATACAATTATTTTATCCCACCTGATCTACAAAGATCTACAAATTACCATGTACCATTGTCGTAAAGGTTATATAGGTAATTGTAGTAGTTACTTAAATAGCTAATATAGCTGCATTTCAGTTTTGTGCACTCTTTTCTATTACATCAATTAAGTAGTAAAATATTAAATATTGTTCGACGCACATTCACTTACAAATACACTGTCTACATACTATTACATACAATCTCCTACAAAACAGCGAGATCTCTCAGCAATAAGATAATTCTGATATTATTTATACTTTCTGATACATGTTTTTATGTTTCAGTAAACCAGTGATTTCTCAATAATTTAAATTATAAGTTATTAAGGTTCTACTGTTAAAAACTATACTTCTATGCGTGTGTGTGTTAAATACATGGTAATGTGTGTAATGTTTTTTATTGTATTCATGTATTTTTTCTATATATTAAAACAAAATATTTGCATTCTTTACTACTATAAGTGTGCAAACTCTATATAAACTATAAGTGTGCAAAATTTCATACCTCTCCGTTCTCGCAATTTTCGTAAACACGGTTATACAGTTTTTGTTTCACGTGTTAATATAATGATGCTCTTGTTATTTATCGAATAGCACGGGTAAAAGGGATTATTTTTTGCACTTTCGTGTATGCATGCACAGTCACGTTATATGTAATTTAGTAAACGGATAACCATTTACCATCAGATGAACCGTGTGCTTGTTTGCCACCATAGTAGTATAAAAAAAATTGTAAAGGAATAAATGTCAAATTTAGACATTACATTACTTTTATAACGCCATGTATCGTTTAAAATACCTATTTTTAAACAATTTAAGCTGTTATAGTAATAGTAAATATTAGTATGCAGACTAGGTAGTCTAAGTAGTAAGTTTTTTTAAGAGAGTACTTACTATTTTATCAAATATTAGATTGAAATATCTAGAATATAGAAGTTGAATTTATGTACGATATTGTTAAACGTTATAGTTATAAAATAAATATTATAAATTAAAGTTGATAATAGATACAAGTTAGATCAATCATCTTATGGTACTACCTATAATAAAAGTGCAAAAGAAGTAACACGTAAAACGACTAAAAAACATAAAATAACAAATGAAAATAGAAATATAACTCAATTTATCTCATATCAAACTAGGAATAGACAGCAAGCTACAGATTCACAGGACTCTGATAGAGATATAGATATATAACATAGCATCTAGCAGCGCCTCCTCAAACCGGAACACAAACAGACACTTATAGAACCACAAGTTCTTTCCCAATACGGCCGGTCCCCGTGGGAATAGTAGACCAAAACCTTCCAACCTTAAGCAAAGTAACAATTTTAAGATAATATATTGTAAATAATTACGCACCCCAATATGCAAAAATTGAACAGAAAACATATATATATATAAATAGTAATAATAATAATATGAAAAAAAAAATGAAAACAAATGATTTAATGTCTGTACATATAAGATTTTATGCCTATAGTCACTTGTGTGCACTATTAAAATGTTAAAAAAAAAGCCAATGGTAAAATGGAAAAGGTCGGAAGAGGCCTATATCCTTAAATGGATACCCAAATAAAAAAGATAAATGGATAATTGGTGTAATTCTAATAATTATTGCATGCTAATAATAAGTTAACAAAAATATATAAATAAAGTGAATACAAATTACCAGAATAATATAAGTTAAATAGTAATATAATTAAAGAAATGCATGTAATATTATTATTTTGGAAAATAAAAGGCTTTTTTATTTTATAATAGATATAAGTACAGAAATCTAAAAACTTCACACACGTAATATATTTATATATAGGTGTAGGCGACGGTCACCGTTTACCATTGAATATTTATGTTTACAAAATACCCGTAATTTCTATGAGAAATCTTTTAACAATATTATCATTTTCTAGATGAAGAGGGGTACTTACAAATGACGCCAGCTAACAAGATGCCATTTAGTCCAAGACCACAAAATACGCAGTTCGATTTCGATGCCCGAAAAATGAATAATAGAGCGACGGAAGCAAGTAACTGCGGCTCTGAGCTGACACCAATGTTAACACTGAACAATCTGCCCAGGAGTGGATCCGAGTCAGACCACGAAGGCAACCACTCGCCATATCTCAACATGTGCCCGCGTATCGAAGAAGAAACCGATGAAGTCTTTTTGGATACAAAATCTCAAAATATTAAGAACATTCAGAACAGTGCTGTGACAAATCCCACTTATATTACTTTTGGTATGGACATTGAAAAGAAATCTCAAGATATTAATAATAGTTATATTAATATACCGAATGGTCTAGTCAAATGAGTATGAACTGTATTCTTACCCGTGTTAAACGTTACATTTACAAAGTTAATAAGTGTTGTAATGTTTGTTGAAGTGGATCTCCTCTGTTAGATAGACGTTTATTCTAAAGCTGGTATTGAAAGCTCAATATTTTTCTACTAATAGATATGCATAATAATATCCATTTTATAAAACACCAGTTTCTAATATCCTTCCTGATCTATACAATCTCATACATAGTTTATATTTGTATATTTTCTGGGTGTAGGTACGATAGTAGCAGTTCTTTATGCATAGATAATGTAGCTTTTGTATTGATAATTCTATGTAATGTGGAATGTAGGACAGATTCATTGTATGTAAACTATACGTTATGTCTTCAATGTTATGTATACTAACTTTCTAAAATGATTCTAGAATTTCAATTAATTTTAAACTCTATTTCTAAACTATTTTTTTATATAATGTTTTCAGATGCTTTGATATATGTTTTCTGCAATAATTAATAATATTATCGTGTCAAGGTTTTTTGTGAACACCAAATATTATGTACGATTTTTTATTTTATGTTTAATATAAATCATGCGCGTGGTGAAAGGCATTGGTTAAGGCTATATTCAGCAATGGATTAGTATATGAGATAATTCCATCGGAATATGAATAGATTAGTAATCAACAGTAACGTAGTGAGAGTATAATTGCTAGTAAATTGATCTGTAGTCAATGATGTTCTTGTAAATAATATTAATATGGAAATGAAATGAATGATGTGATATTTTGTAGTATACCACTGATCAAAACAATACAGACCAATAACAATTATTATATATCTAGAATCTATACACTATTTTTTTAATGTTACTTTTATAGAGGCTTCTGTTCACTTAGATAAATACGCCACTCACACAGGATATCTCGATAAAATTGTATGAAAATGAAAGCTAGCTGTTGAAAAATCACAGTCAATAGGTTCAAATCAAAAGTTTTAATTAAAAAAAAAATAATATTCATTTATAATGAAAATATGAAGTACATAGAATTCTATATTTTAGTAAGATATATATAATAACAGTGTTAAATATACCCACCAGAATTAGATTTGTAATGAAATATATTATGAGAGTAATTTTGCCATTGCCTACTAATACTTTATCATTCCTGTACAACTATGTACTCGTAATATGAAATTTTGAAAATAGAATTATAGTTTTGATGTATTATTACATGCAAGGATAATTAGTATATGTTTCGGTATGTGATATGCCCAATTATATGGTTTTATTAATGTACTAGCGATGTGGTAATATGTAAAAAACTAAAAAAAATATCTCATATTTTGTATCATAAAAATGTATCCATCCGATATCAGTTTAAAAAGGGATATAATTCTATTTTACTTGTATAATAATTAAATTACCAATCTATATATAAACTTTTAAATATTGTATACTCCAACAAAAGTATTCATTTGTATTAAGTTAACATGTTATATTATAGATTTTATATCAGCAAATTTTTATATATATTTATATCGTTACACGTGTATATGTCTAGTCCATATTAATTATAGTACAAGAGATATTGAATGGCATAATGTTACCATCGGAATAAAATAAGGCGATCTAATTAAATTGTAAAGAAATAGGTAGATATTATAAAAAAATATTATTGTTTTTGTAAGATTTATTTTAATAATTGGAAGTAGAAGCGTGTGTTTAACTATAATGCAATCAACATTAATATTAGTTCAACATTCAAAATTCCTAAAAAAGTTCCATTGGATCAAATGTATTTATAGTTATATTTATATGTAAAATATCAAAAAACTAGCAGATGATACGATACCCGTAGTTTTTCCGAAATAAAATCGTCAGTAATATATTATGTTTGACATTTGACTTACAAAAATATATAAACATGTTTTATTTTTTTTTTGTTTAAGTACTATTAATGCTGACTGTATGTATGTTATAGACTGAGGCGGGATAAGAAGTAAAGATTGATTTATTTTATATAATGTAAAGTTATTACGATAACTTATATTTTTTGTATTTACAATACGTCATGTAATAAAATATTCTGTAATTACGTTAGTATCTATACCTAATAATGAATCAACCATGTTTTTATTTTTTAATAGTGTTTGAGCCAGTAAATGTAAATGAAGAGGACATGATGAATATAATACGTAAGGGAGAAATGTTGGATATTTTATATGTTTATTTTTTTAAATATCGATTGTTGTGTTAATTTTTATTGTTAACAATGCTAAATTTATTAAATAATTAAGTACCGATTCGAATTATTATAAAATTGGATTTCAGTTAAATTATTCACTCAACTGAGAACAATACGTCTGAAAGGTCTAAAATAAAATAAAAAATATTGAGTGTATCGTTTTTTATTTAAGTATTTCTCTCAACTTATTACTAGAACTTTAATAATTAAATGTCCTTTTACCTATTATGCAAATAATAATATACATACGATGATAATATAATTTTTATTTTTCATCATATTAAGAATACATTGACGACCTCGGTGGTCTAGCGGTCCAGTCTACCGCTTTACGACCGATGGTCGCGGGTTCGATTGCTCGCACGGCACAAACATTTGTATTCATGAGTATGATTGTTTGTATCGGTCTGGGTATTTTCTATGTATAATATGTACGTATTTATGAAAAAAAAAAAATCTATGTATTTGTATCAGTTGTCTAGGACCCATAATACAAGCTTTAGCTAGCTTAACTTGGGTCTAGATGGCGCTGTGTGAATTGTTCTGGGATTATTATTATTATTATTATACATATATAAAAAGAAGATGTACAATGAATTATCAAGTATTTATGCAGAGGTAATTCTGAAGGGCTGTAAGCCTTGTGGATAATATAAGATGCAATCACTTTCACTATGAAACAAAATAGGAATCTGACATATAACCATGTATGGGAATTTAATGATTCGCGATAATCATTTAAACTTTATCAAGTCTTTTTCAGGACTACGGAAGATCTTACTAGAATTGTCTCTAAAGACGGAACCATGGTAAATTCATTGAATTCTCGTACATATTTCTACAATATTAGTGCAAAATGAACATAAGTTTTAAAAATAGTATGGATACCTAATAATCAATTTTGAACAAGATGACAAATATTATAATATAATTAATATTTCAAATCTTCATACAAACTCCGTGCAGTTTAAAAATTATTTCATAATCTTTATACGAACTGATATTTAAGACTACTTTACTTCTTAGAGATAGGTGTTTAGTTTTATGTATACAGTCACTGGTTCCTGTTTTGTTATTCCCTTTATGGCTAATGTTGTATGTGCCATCCATTTGAATGCATATCGATTGAAATATGACTAGTTGCCATTTTCATCTATTAGCGGTTAAAAAATCGCTTTCATAATTGCTACCACTGTTGTTTCGATTGCATCAGCACCCTAAAACCAATACATATTATTATAATGCAAAAAACAGTTTAAAAAAAATGTCAAAAGCATCGGCTATATAACCGGGAAAGAAATAAACTTACGTCCTTAAAAGCCTCTACAAGACCCATGGGAACGTCGATAAGCATTTTCACGAAGCTGGCGAGTGCCTGTCCAAATAAAAAGTTATTTATTTGTATCGAAAGGTTTTAAAAATTTATTCCTGGCTTATTGAAGTCGATATAGAGGTATTATATATACATGTAGCACTAGTGAAAAATGTTTCTATCGTCTAGTCTACCATAATACCTAAGCTCATAATTCGTAAATGCAACAAAGATGTTCATCCTTATTCATCCTTGGGATTTATGCAATATTAAAAATTAATACTTATATTTAAATTTATTTATAATCACACAATCGCTCAGACTCCTTAAATTAACTAGGATTGTTTTAATAAATTGGCCGAGCCACTATTGGATCAAACAAGGGACCTCATTTACAATAAGTTGAGTCCTGTAAACACACTTTTATATTTTTTAAACATATATTTGTGACTAAATGATAGAGAAAATACCTTTAGGCTCCTTAATTATGTAATTAGAAATTTTATATAAGCTGATCTTTCAAGTGATGATAAATACTAAAAGGTCACCTTAATATTATGCGTTGCTATCCGGAGTACAGAGATGTATTGTAACTGGCTACTTGCCCCGGCTTCGTATAGGGATAAATATATTATAAACCTTCCGCTAGAATCACTCTTATCTATAAAAAAAAAACCGCTTCAAAATCCGTTGCGTTGTTTTAAAGATTTAAGCATACATAGGGACAGACAGGACAGCGTTTTTATTTTATACTATGTAATGATTATACTGCATTATAACCTATAGGGTAAAAACCGGAAACTTTTTGAAATTTTTACTCTGTATTGTGAAGCTGAATAAATTATTATTAGGTATTATTATATTTTAATTGCGCAAAACAATAGTTATATGTTTACTTACTCCAAGATGTTTAGTATTTTCAGGCGGGACAGGAACTTTGGTTGTGGTGTTATTAACAGCTTCCACTCCATTCAAAATTATATAGATCAGTAAAACAAACAAGTATATCCTCTTGACGCACATGTTAACAACATTCTGTGTAAATAAATGCAAAGTGTATATTCTTATATAAGTAGTTTGCTTTGCATAATCACACATTATTTCTGGCTATGTCGACTAAGACGTATTCCTATGTATTTCTTCTTTCTTTCTTATAATAATGAGATGGTAATGGATTAGAGAAGCTTATTATATATTGTCCATTTCGAGGTAATATGTACAAGGCCTTCCAAGTCAAGGGTAGATCATAATACCTACATATCCTCTGAGTAGGTAGGTAGGATTGGCACAAGACAATGTAATATGTACTATATATGTATAGATACATTACGACTGTATATATATTGTATTTTTTTACAGATGATAATGCAATGATACACTCGCCTTCGCGAATGTTTTACGCTGGCGGGGCCCAGTGTAGGATAAAATAAGCGTGATGTTAGGTCAGTTTTCAGTCAGCCCATTTTGACAAATTCTCCAAGAATTTATCATGATGGTATCCAAGGGTAACCCCGTGGAGGTTAACCTGACATGGTATATTGCCCCCTGTGTATTGTATTTTGTTCAAGGTATAATATATGTATGAATATATATATAATTTGCGAATTCAATGTAAAGCCAAGTCAAATCTCTGCATTTCCCAAAGATTGACTGGTAGAGAATGGCTATAGCAATAAATAACGCCTTTGTACTATATTTTATTAGTCAATAAACCAAATAAATACATAATAAATATAGGTAGCAGTAGGTAGCCGTATGATCTAATAGTAATTAATAGGTAATAGCCAAGTGCATATATAAAAAAAATGGGGTTGTGTTTTATTTTAATATTTCTGTTTATTTTTAGGATACGCCGTTATTGTTCACAGACTGAAGGTCCATGCCCAGTTTACATTTAATTTATATAGTCTATTAATTATTTTCTTTTTTTTCCTGGGTTTGAACTCTTATTATTTTTGAACAATTTTCATATAATTGTACCTACAATTTATATAGAAATCAATAAGAATTTCAAATGTACCTTACCAGTGTTGTACTTTGACAGCCTCGGAGGTCTAGTGGTTTAGCACACCGCTTTACTATCCGATGGTCGTGGGTTCAATTCCTCGCACGGTACAAACATTTGTATTCATGAGTATGATTGTTTGTATCGGTCTGGGTGTTTTCTATGTATAATATGTATTTATTTACAAAAAAAAATGTATCCATGTATTTATATCAGTTGTCTAGTACCCATAACACAAGCTCTGCTTAACTAGATGGCGCTGTGTCAATTGTCTAGACATTATTATTATTATTTTTTTTTTGCGGAGAGGAGATGGCAACATACCCCCGGCTGTGTCAATTGTCCTGAGACATTATTATTATTATTATTATTATTATTATTAGTGTTGTCCATTAAAAATCACTTATCTCCAAAAAAATTGTCCAATTACCATTTCTTTTATTTTTGTATTCAATGATGATGGTGAACAAATGC